CCCCCCCCCCCCCCCCCCAACAGCTTACAGCAAGCTCCGAAAGCGAGAAGACATAGAGCCCTTGAAAACTCAAGGGTTTGGGCGCCAGCAGGATCCGGGCAGCACACTCATAGCGCTTTGATGCGCTTTGGCTTTCAGAGGGCATATTAATATATATATATATATATTTTTTTTTTATTTATTTATTTATTGATTTATTTATTTATTGATTTATTTATTGTTTTATTTATTTATATTGTATTTATTTTTATACTTATATTTATATTTATATTTAGTTATTTTTATTGATTTATTTATATTATATATATGTATATATGCGCGGTGTAGCGGTTCGTCATATGACTCTGCACTTACTTCGGAAGGGCATCCAGTCCGAGGCTTCGGGCCTTCCGAAGAGCGTAATCCATGAAGTAAATGCCAGGCCTCAGCCGACGAGGGTGACCATAGGGTGACGAGGGTATACTTTCGGGAGCCTGCTTCTGCACATGGATCACAGTGAAGCATGACGGTGTATAGCTTCAAAAACGGCTACTGGTGATTCACTGATTGCCAGGGTCCTGCCGGATGATCGTTTTTGAACCCAGACTCTGCTGAACAAGCGAATCACCCTAAACCGTACTACTAGATGGCTCGTTGTCCCGCTATACACAATTCACTTTGAATGCGGGAGGCTGGGTGTCATCAAGCACTACATGCTCGAAAGCAAGCAGCGCTGCACTTCCAGCCTACAGCCAGAGTAGTGGCGCCGACGGAGCTATAGCGATTTGCCCACTTGGGCTTTCAGTACAAACCACACATGGGCTGCATAGAAGCACTTAAACATGCTCCTAGACTGATGCCCTAGACCATCCATGCCCACAGGCATGATCTCCAGCCAACTGCTGAGTCCCGCGCTCCACCGTCAAGACCTCGGCAAAACGAAGCGCTCAGGATATGTCATGGCACGCACGGAAGGGTATGAACATGTCTGCAATGAAAGCTTAACAGCGTAATTGCTCATTGTGATGCTTTTCTGCCTCATACTATCTCTCTGTGTGTTTATGCCCACCTACTATTCATGTACGTCGTCATTTGCGTCTGCAAGAAGGGCATCACATGAGCGGTCGGACATCCAAGGAATAGAGAAGTATGTATCTGCGAGGTCCCACGAGCCCTAGAGGGGCTTATGGCATGCCTACGGCAGCTATCCCGCAGCCGACGGAAAGACCACAAACACAAGGCTGTCGCAATGCTTGCGACGATCACGATGCGCTGCGAAATTCTGATCGCTGCTGATGCTATGGAAGTTGTTGGGGCATTCGAAAGACTGAAAGAAGCTCCTTCCGTGTTGCTTGTGCCTCCGCCTGGCTCACTCTATGGCACTGGCACCATGGAACATAGCTGATCCAAACACCCATCGAACGCAGTTTGAAAGCTTTGAGGCGATGGGGGAAAATGTCGGTGGGATTGGAACTCTTGGCGCCAACTTGGCGCCCTTGCGATCTGTGTACAACGAAAAAATCTCGAGAAGTGACGGCTTGCGTGGTCGGGCTGCCAATTTCATGGCACAATTTGCATCATGTAGGATTCTGCACAACCAAAGGCCAGCAATATATTGGGCCACGGCTGCATGCAATGAACGGCCCACATGAAAGAGGTTGAAGTAGCCATGCCCAAAGGGTCCTATGTACCTACTACAGAGTGGAGTGTAGGGTTGTTGCAGTAGGAAACACTCTTACGGTTTGGGAAAGTATCCCCCATAACAATACAAAGGACCCTTTGTGATTCCCATCCTGCCACCCTAAATCCTTTTTTTGGCATCCAGCCTGCAAGAGCCTGTGCTGGGAACCTAACGAGGGCTTAGAGCAAACCTTCAAGTCTGCAATGCCACTCATCAGGCACGACTTCAACCCTAAATCCAAAAACCCTAAACCCTCCATCCTAAAACCCTTTCGCATCCAGGACTCTTGCAAGCAGCCGGGAAACTCCACAAGACAGTGCGTAAACCCTTCAGCAGCACTCATCCTAAAACCCTAAAGCCCGAAACCCTCAATCCTAAAACCCTAAATAAAACCCTTAACCGTGCTGTCAGCCAGCAGGGAGGGTCGCCGGGGTCCAAGCGAATCCGGGCTCCAGCACCCTCTGAACACGCAAGGCCTTGTAGCCATCCTGCTATGGGTTTCGATAGGGTTTAGGGTTTAAGGTTTAGGGGTTTAGGGGTTTAGGGTTTAGGGTTTGGGGTTTGGGGTTTGGGGTTTAGGGTTTAGGGTTTGTAGCGTTTTTCCCTGGGTTGGGGGTTTACAGGGTTTTTAGGGTCTAGGCAGCCTGTTTGAGTGTTGACAATTCTGTACGTAGGGGTTGCTTGTGCCGACTTGCCTAGGGCCAGCTGCCGACAATAGGCTCCGTGTCTTCATTAAACCCGCATCTGCGCTGGAATCTACATGCGCGTGCCACATGCCAGGGCTTATCCTTAGCAAGTCAGCGTTTTGCTAACTGTAGAAGCGACACCGCTTCAGGACATGAACCTGAATCTGCTTTTACCCATCACCTGCAAGAGCAAATCAAACTCGGAAGCGTGCCGCGCTGAAACCAAGGCATTCTGGAATCCAACCAGAAGTCGTTCGGAAAACCCGACTTCAACTCTGCAGAATGAGCCCCTTCAAACTTCAACATGCTGGCTTCTCGAGACGTCAGTGCTCAAGCCATATGTAAGCCCAAGTCGAGCATTGAACAGCCTGAGCCCGAAGATGTCTAGTATGAAAGGGTGCCCGGCCCGGGCGTCTCGCTGCGCCCCCTTCGGATAGCCGCCGACCTCGGAATCTTGAGGAGGCCGTTAAACTAATTCAAAATTAAAAGACATCCTGACCTAGATGAGAACCCCCCAACTCGAAGCCTTTGAGCCCATAGCACATCAGCTATAGAAACTGCCTTGAACCATAGAGCTGAAACACCGCGGGAACCCCCCAACAATTGATCCTAGAATATTGGAGTCGTGTCAGAAACCACAAAAGGGACTAATGTAGGGCCTAGTCATGCCTCATCGTATAAGCAAAATATTTGTTGGTATACTCTACCGTGAATAAAACATTGACGACAGGGGCTACTGGGCCCCGGAGGCCGAGCCAGTCGCACTTTCGGCAGCCCTGAGCCAGGTTTTCAACCCCGCTAACGACACTCCGGACGTTGAAGGGCGGCCATGCTCACTCCCCTATGATCATCGTCACTCGTCACATATCGTCACAGATCGGAATATGATGGAGTGGTGTAGTTAATGACTGGGGGGTCTACATAACACAAGAAAGCACTCAAGCCCTGAAAGCCACCGCTATCGAGCGATGGGCATCGTGGGTGTCGATGCCCATGAAGTGACCCAGCCCATGGGGCATCAAGACCTCAGCTTCTGGGCTGCCCTGAATACCCTAGCTTGGTAATCTTTCAAGTGTAATTATAGTTATACAGCTATAGTCTTGTAGTAGCCCCGGGAATAAAGGCTGGAGGAGGCCCCCAAGTCCGTGATTTGGCAAGCTTAAAGCTCCGGGGTTCCGGCGGTGGGGCTTGGGGTCCAGAAACTTCTGGGTAGTTTTCTACATTAGGGTCCCTTGTCGGGTCCTTTTTATAAGGGTGCCGTATTATTTTGGGGACCTAAAAGGGGACCCTAATTTAGAGAACTACCCTTCTGATATCTACAACTCAGGACCGTAGTCGCACAGAACAACAAAACGAAGAACTGAGGAGATGGGCCCACAACCCACCAGGGATGCAGCTTCTCCCGTGCGTTTCTCATTGTTCTTCGGCTTTCGTCGTGTTAAATGTTAATCTCTGCAACCTCTCCCAATCCCGAGGTGAGTCATCCGGCTAGGAGCACGCAAAACAAAAACACAACGCACACGTATTTACTTCAAAGAGAGGGTGTGGCTTGGCTCGTGAGGAATCTCAGGCGACATCGAGGTCCAAAAGCAAGGTGCTCGAGGGTGGTACCCCGCCGACGTTTGCGGCCATCATGTCGTCGACATCGCCAACCTCGGATTAGTGGCGGCAGTCTTGCTCTCTAGCGTATTAGGGTATGTATCTGTCTATCTACCTACCTGCCTACCCCCTACCCGTCTATGTGTGTATCTCTCTACCTACTTGCCTGCCTGCCTATCAAGCCATAAATGCATGCATACCCATACACAATAATGCATATGAACATACATACATACATACATACATACATACATACATGCATGCATGCATGCATGCATATACATACAGACAGACATACATACAAACATACATGCATACATACCTTAAAACCTAGACACCCACCTACATGCATACATACACACCCACGTGCGCACATGCATATACACGTATTCACCTACGCTCCTTATGCTGTCTGTATATATATATATATACATCTTTCTTTCATAGGGCATAGGGGGTTGGTCAGACCCCCTGGCCCTGTGACCCCCCACATGTTATGGGGCGGCAGGGGTACAAGTAGTTGAGGGTATGATGTCTGCGTGAGAGGTCAATACCAGTTTCGCCATGATATCTAAGTAACACTCACCATACACTAGGGAAAATAACCTTTTTGCTTTTTGCTTCCTGGGAGTGCACCGTTCCGGACTGTAGTCTCGTAAAGCCACGACAGGGGGACCCGTTGGAGCTCTCAACTCCCCCCTTTTATGGTAACTCACCTCATGTTTACTGTGTTTTCTTGCTAAGAGCTCCGGGGGAACCGCTAGACACACTTTTGCGCTCGATCCACACTGCGGGGGAGCAACCGTGACAAGTGTTCTATGATCTTTCCTGGTAACCTGTTTGTTCCTTTCGTCCTTTGCTAGGCTCCTGCAGGATGTTATATGCTCCCCACAGACGTGGAAAACCCGCTTTCCGGATTGCCTCCATAAGGGGACTCAGCCGTGTGTATCCTCTTCTCTTCTGTAGTTCAAGGGAACCCCTTCGGAGGCACGTCCACGGTAGTCAAACCCAGATGTGCAACATGCCAGTATCATGTTCATCGTCTCATCATATACATGCTGTCTGTTACACCCTCGCATGCACATTTGGTCTTTCTCACACAGGTGTCCGAGCACTGCAGGAGGGGACGTCAGTGAGGGTCAATACATATATATATATATATATATATATATCTCTCTCTCTCTCTCTCTCTCTCCGCCGGGCATGAGGGTCGGTCAAGACCCGGGCCACAGGCCCACCCGCATGTTGTTAATGCAGGTGAAGGGGTGTGAGGAGCGAGCATAATACCTCCACTGACTAAAGTCATAAAGTGTACGATATCATATGTATATATCTATATGTATTTATATTTATATATATATATATCTCTCTCTCTCTCTCTCTGTTTCCATATATGCGCTTCAAGAAGTCGTTTGTGTGGGGCCCAAAAAAGGCACGGGGGTCCCGCCTTGCGGCTCAAGGGGCGGGTTTATTTAGGGTTTAGGGTTTCCGATTTATTGTTTCCTGGTATTGGGTTGTGCTTAGCCACCTTATTAGCGACGAGAGATCCCGTGCAGCTCGCAAAGACATGTTTTCCCTGAACCTCAAGCTGGTCAGTGATGTTTAGGGTGTATACGCTTGGCTTGGGCCCACCATTTCCCGAAACTCCCGCATCACTTTCGGACTGAGGCCGACAACGCTGCAGGTCGGCTGAAGGTGTTCTGGATAAACATGCTGACCCAGTAGAATCACAAGCACAGCAACGTTTTATCTACATTGGACAAACTATCAGGAGCCTTGGCACAGAACCGGTAACTTCAAATCTTGCAACCCCAAACCAAAAGCCCACCCCCAAATCCTAAACTAAACCCTAAACCCTAAACCCCCAAATCCTAAACTAAAAAGCAGCAAGCGATGCCCCCTCTGAGGGTCGAGGCGAGCAGCCCACCGTCCCTGAGTCTCTCACACCTCAACTGCAAGCCGCCGTAGGGTTTAGGGTTTAGGGTTTGGGATTTAGGGTTTAGGGTGGGCTGTTGCGAAAAGTAGGAAGAGCCACAAGGACCATAACAGCAAAGATTAGTGACAACAACAGGGTAGCTGCCACTTTGTCTTTGGGATCCTTATACGAGGAATGGCAAGGAAACCCGGGAAATCAGGATGGCTTTGAGAATGCTCAGGCGCCTTGAGAGCCGCAGGTTGGGGGTTCCTGAATGTGTACGGGCCCAATTTTGTTCTTGCATCCCGCTTCTTTCCTGCACCAGGCTTGCTGTACGGTCTGGCGACGGACCTCCAGGGCGGAAATACTGCGCGCCGCAGCAGTTGCAGCTACTGGCCGTCAAATGTTGATTTTGTGAGATTCCGATAGCCAAAAATCGCAGAGGGCTGCGAATGACAATCTACCTGAAGCTTTGAGGACCAAGCGGTTTCAAGACTTCGGCCGCTGCAACAACCAGTTGGCTAGAATCATGCATGAGTCAGTCCATGCGGGCTGGCTTCGAAAAAATCTGGCCACATGGTTTCATATTACTGTGTATTGAAGTATTGTGCACCCTTCCCCCAGCAGCTGGAAGATCTGTGGTGCAGAACAGCAACGCAACATGGAATCACGTAGTATTGCAAATGTGAGATTACTGGCCGACTTGGCTAGGTGTGATGGGCTTCCGGTGCAGATACAAGTCAGGCGAGGAGGTACAGAGGCATGTGGATGTCTAAGATGTTTGTCTTCGTCGAAGTCGCTGTCATCATCCTCGCCAGTAGATGAAGTCGCATGAGCGGCATAATCGGCATAATCAGCATCATCAAGCGTATCTTGTTCGTGTCGAAATCAGCGGGTGAAGCAGCATTTATCGTTCTATAGTCTTCGTGGCCGTAGCAGAGGCCTATGTCGTCGTAGCAGCTGCAGCTGCAACTGGTAGATACGGTTGCTGCGAGTAGCAGCAATAGTCGTCTTCCTTCGCCTCTCGCTCCTCCCTCCTCCCTTGCCTTCTCCTCCTCCTCGTTTTCCTCATCCTCCTCCCCCTCCTCCTCCTCCTCCTCCTCCTCCAGTTCCTTGTCCTCGTCGCCTGGTCGCGACGACGGGCCGCCGTCATGGCACGGCCGTCGTTATCGCGGTCGCGGTAAGAGCAGTGGAAGCAGAAGCAGAAGTGGCAGTCGTAGTAACGCAAACAGACGGAGTGTAGAGACGGTAGCAAGGGAGGTGGATAGTTGCGGGTAATTGTGCAGAGGATGCTACGGCAATTTCGGCTAGTGTCGGGATTGCGCTATCTATATATACATACACATATATATATATATATATATATGGGCAAGCTATTGGCAAGATTCGCCAACTAGGTCTGCACAGCCTCTTCACAGCGAGCCCACACCTTGCCAAGCAAGACCTCTGAACAAAAGGAAACGGTCCGGTCGCGACCCTTTCCGGACATGACTCGAGGATCCGGCTCCCTGTGCATTTGAATGTGGGGGGTTTCCGTAAATAGGGGACCCTAATATAGTACCCTAAATAGTAGGATCCTTATTATAAGGACCCCAAAATAAGGCACCCCTTGTTTTCGGAAACTCCCATATTAATTAGAGAAAACAACTTCACGGCCCCACGGCCGTTGCCAGATCGACAAGGAGCGTATCTGGCAACACAACGTGTCTGGCACGTCTTCAACCCTCGGCAGGTGCTTTAGGTCAGCACTGGCTCCCCGAAGTCTTCCCGGCGACGCTGCTCCACCTCTGCCTGGAAGGCATGTGGATTCTTCACCACATGGATGAGGTACGTGTGAAGCTGAAGAACATAGTGGCGATGCGTGGACATGTCTGGGGGTAGCGCATCCTTTGGGGGCTTCTCCAAGGTCTCTGTGTAGCACACCACGGAGCCACCGCTGCAGGGCTCTTCTTCAGTCCACGTGCTGCTCTCGCTGCACCCCATCACGCAGAAAACGGAAGAACGCTGCAAGAGACCAAGCTAAGGCCAGGGGCTTGCTTGAAGCTGAATCGCAACGGTAGTCCGACGCCGACTCCCTCGTTTCCTTCTGGTTTTCAATGTCCAGAGAGCTGTGCATCTCAAGCCCTCGCCGAAGCTCTTGGTCGGGACTCCCAAATTGCCCCGTCCACAGTAAGACCTAAAACCCCAGACTTGCACCCTAAAAGCCCTGTCAGAAGACCTACACAAAACCTTTTGGTAGAAAGCTACCGTGTACCAAGACCCACACCCTAGAGCCTCGTACGAGTAGGAAGAAGCTCAAACCTGGAACCAAACAGTGCTGGGTTCAAGCCCCGTTCAGGAGGCCCAGAAATCGATTTGAGAACAGACGTGAAGTCCAAGAAAGCTAAACCCAACATCCTGAGTTCGAAACCCCTGCACCTTAAACCCAGAGCCCCAAACCCTCAACCCCTCAAACGAGAACCCCTCAACCCTGAACATCTCAACACCCCTCAACCCTCAGCCGCCTCAGCCCTTTTTATCCCGAAGTCCCGTGTACCAGGGTTTCCTCAACATTCTCGGTGCTCAGAACTCTGGGGACTGAAAAGGCTTCTTCGAAGGGTGCCGTTCACTGCCCCTCTGAAGGGATGCAGGGATGTGGGTGGCACATTTTGGATGCACGCCTGTGTTCAGTCTTGTTGCTGTTAGGTTTAGCGTGTTAGGGTTCGGGATTTTGTGAAAAGGATGTTGGGCACAGGGGGTGGAACTGTCGAACTGCCGGGATGACCCAAGCACCACAAGAGTGGGTTTCAATTCAGAGTTTAGGGTTTAGGGTAAGAGTGCCTCGAAGGGCTTTGGGGCATGGGGGCCTAAAGGAGCTGCATGGCAGAGTGATAACCAGATCAGAAGACATGATCCAAGTAACGGCTCTAGGCTCTAGATCACCAGGCGTACCTTTCCTGAGAATCAGGGTGTTGAAGTTTTTGCTGCTGGTTTGAGGGATCTTGGATAGTATTGGTGGCACATCAGTTACGTGATTTTAAATTCAACCTCACGCTCTCTGAACTGTCGAGGAGGAGATCGTGCAGGGAAAACCAGTTCGCCACTGACCTCGTCTGGGAGATTCACCGACAAGGAACCCCTAAGCATAAGACACCCGCAGTTTTCTTGCTCAGGCAGGTGTGGAACAAGGATCGCTGCTGGACTCTCCAAAAAGGCCTCCACGGTATCAGATGGGGCAGCATTCACCCAAGCCTCTGCTCCCGCTTCAAAGTCTGCATCCAAAGGCCAGCAAGTGCGCCGTAGGACAAGTCCACGAGCCCAGCGAGGCAGCCGTGGCCCATGGGTCGGAGCTTGCTCTTGCTGCGGTTCTGGAAGACAGCTCTGATCGGCGCAAGGTCGGAAGTTGATGCATCCTCTTTCCGAGAGCACAAGTGGTTGAATCCAGGTCTCATCCACCGTCAGCTCCATTTCTAACTCGCCTCCGTGGTCTTCGGCCCACTGCCACAGTACATTTGCCAGGTGCTTCTCTGGGCTGAGCTTCACACCTGGAGATCGCCAGCCCGAGCAACTAAGGCAGGTCGGGTGGCTTCTTAGGAAACTCGCATTTCTCAAGGACTGGTGCGGAAGCGCGAAGAAGGCTTCGGCAACACTGCGGGAGAGGATGAGTGCACGGTCCAGGCCCTCGAGGTATCCAGCTTGAGGAGTCAGCTTCTGACCCCCATCCGGAAACACTAGAACGTGACCTTTCCGAAGATGACTGAGGTCTGGAAGTGGAACTACGTGCAGAAGGTCGGGTCGCAAGAACACTACCCAGTCCACTTGTCCAAGGATCCCCTCTTCTTCTTGCAGGGCAATCTGACATCGGTCTATCCCGAGTAACTGCTGAGCCCACTTCAACCGGCCATGACCCTCACCGTGCCACCATGCCTCCTCTGAATAAGCATTGACCAATTCCTCGACATCCTCGTAGCTGGCATCGTCCACCACGTCAACTCGCTGCAAGACCGCCGGCAAAGGGCCGAGCTTTGGACACGATGTGGACTGCAGCACTTTCGAAAGCTGCGACTGGAGGGAGGCTGCGTGCCCTTTTTCGACACCCAGATGGGGCTGGCTCGCGAGCGAGAAAAGAAGGAGCAAAGGAGCAGAAGTTCCAGCTGCCACAGGACAGAGGCTTTTGAACAGCTGCCGAGCCATTGGCTCAAGAAGTTCGCCAGACATGGCTCGAGGTTGTCCGGCAACGCAAACCGCAGCTCGCCAGGACTGGCCTCGTTCTTGCCTGGGCGGATTCGGAAGTTCCGGCCATCGAGACAACGTCGATGTCCAATGCACGTCGCGGAATTTGGAAGCGACTCTGGACGACACTTCTGCCACAAGGCTTGCTACAGCGCTCAAGCACTCGTGGCCCTCGTGGCCGTGCCCCCTTAGCGTCTGCCGCTCCATCCTTAAGATCTCAAAGGCGGAGCGAAGTCGATCCTTGAGCACTCGGAAGGCCACCGCCTCCTGCCACAAAGGCCGCTCCTTCTTGGGAAGCTCCATGGAGGCTGCGAGGCTCAGGAGCTCCAGGGCTTCCACATGTCGGCCCGGCCGCGACAGATCGCAAGGTTCAGATGGGGCCTGGGCCAAGGACGCCCCCAAGGCATCAAAAAACGCCGGCCAGCCCGTAAGCGCCAGAATCGCCGGGTCGGGCAGTGACAGAAACCAGTTCGAAGCCCACATCGGATTGGGACCAGCAGATTTCTCCCCCTGAGGCAGCAATAGCTTCTGCACCTCGAGTGCTGCTGGCTGCTGAAAGCCCATGACGAGAAGCTGGGCGGTGAGTGCTGCAGCTTCGCAACTCTGCCGCCCCATTTCGATGGCTTCCAGAAGCAATGCCTGCACTTGTTGATACTCCTGCGAATCCGGATGAATTTGGGTCCATATCCTCACGACCACCTCCAGCATGTCCTGCGAGCGCTGCCAATCCACATCGGCCTGAAATTGCAACGAACCGCAGCTACTCGCACAGAAATCAGGAGCAAAGTCCACCAAGCATGTGCGAAGGTAGCACCAGTTGCACGCAACTGCAGTCGATGCCCAGGCGGATATGCACCAGTACGCATAGCGCAACCGCATCAGAACCCGAACCTCAACTCACGAAGCCAACAGCCACCGCTGTCGCGGAAAAGGACATGAAATGTTAGGAAGCAGCAACGACAGCTGTCTTATGTTAGTCTGGAGCGAAAGTTGCAGGCAACTTTTGCGCAACAAGACTGACCTGGTAGAAACACCGGTGGCTGCAACGATACAGAAGCTATGGAAGCCAATCCAGAAATCGAAGACGATCAAGACGCGGCTGAGCTCTCTGCAGGACCCTGTAGGACAAGTCGTGCATGTCAGCCTGGCCGGTCGAGGAGGAATCTGTAAATTGTTGCAAGTGCACACACCGGGGATTTAAGGGTGCTGTACGTTGATGTTTTGGTATAGGGTCTTCAACAAGGAGTCAGTCAAGAACTAGGAACGGAGATTCCGAAGAAAGGGGGTGGACTGAGGGTCTCTAGGGACTCTAGGGGTCCAGAGGCAAAGGGTGCAGGGTTTGAGGATTTTGAGGCTTTCCTATAGTCTCCATTGGAGTTCCTTTTTTTGGTTTAACCATATATATATATATAAAGGATTTTACGAGGTATCCCCCAAAAGGAACTACAATGGAGACTATAGGTACAGTCGGCAAAGCTTGGCAAGTGTCTGCGATACTCTGGCCCTGCAGAGAATCTACGAAGGGCTGCTGTCAAATGGCCACAAAACCTCAACCGTTAAGGGTTTAGAGGTGCTCGTTTGCCTCCTCCGTTGAAACGGGTTTATAAGCCTACGGTTGAGGGTTGCCTGGGATGTGTCTGCCATGGTCACAAGATGTCCAACGTGCAACAAAGGTGGAACAAATCGGTGCAGCACAAGTACCTCTGTGCACCTAGTGATGGCCACCACTTCTTTTTTGGCGACCCAACTCCCAGACGGAGAACTCTTTTTATTTTCAGAGCTTTAACACCTGAAGTTGACCTCCTGGCCTGGCTTGAAGGGCTTTTGTTGGGTTCGTGTAGGGCTGTTTAACCATGACGGTGCCGGCTACGCTCCGATTGCTGGAATTGCGCCGGATGAACCCACTGCACTCCTGGCTTCATCGAGCCTCAAGTCAAGAGACGCGCAAATTGCAGGTGCTCGGAACCCCCTTCCGGCTCGCCGTGAAACATCGCAAAACCTAGCCGACCGGATAGCTCCAAAAGAATTAATCCCCCCAACGCATGCAAACAAAAACGAAGAAACCGGAAGCAACAAACTCGGCGCAGTTCTTTCGAGGCTTCGGTGAGGGCCAAGGAATTCTCCATTTCGCTCTGCTTCAGAGGCTCTCTGAAAAAGAAAGCAGCCGGGCCGGGACTGGATTCCTAGGAGCCACCATATGTGGACACTGCCGCTCCGGAACCCTAAACCCTAAACCCTAAACCCTAACCCCTAAACCCGCACAACCACAGCTAACTCCCAAGCCTCCCGAAAAATGCAGGTGTTTTTGCTTCCCGGTCCTACTTAGACTTCGCATCAACCCTAAACCTGACACCGAGTACACAAACCCCCAAGCCGAGGCCACAACTGAGAACGGCTGCCTGCATGGCCTTGGCTCTAAGACTCTAAGCAAGCACAGGGGGTTCAAAGCTGGTTTCGGGCTTCGAAAACCCTAAACCCTAAACCGCTCGAACTCGGACATCTCCATTTGGTCCGGACCGAAGCTGACAGATACTCCCTCGCTCACAGCTGGAATCTACAACGGAGGCCCTGGCCCACGGACTTTGCTCGTTTTTGTGTGCCTTAACTCCGGCCCGGAGCGTGTTTCAACTAGTAGGTGTTCGTCTGTGACAAACATAGTAGTACATCTGCTTGTAAACATATACACGGGGGAGAGGGAAGAGAGAGAGAGAGAGAGAGAGAAAGAGATTGGGACAGAGATACTGACAGCGACGGAAGCGGACAAAAACATC